CAGAAACAAATCTGAGGACTAGACAGAACCAGCCCACCGGGTGAGCTGTCGCTAGAAACCATCAGTGGAACTATGAATGCCAGCAGCTGGAGTCCATACGCTGTCACCACTGCCACTGCTTCTCAACATCTAGGAGCTGTGACCCTGTGATCAGAAAGCTGCTGCCCCCTCTGTCGTTGATGAGTCACCCTTTGGCACACAAGACTCTGGCAGGTGGACACTGGAACATGGGGAAACAAAGCCTCACTTTCCCTTGTCCTCGATAGCCAGCAGAAACGACGACGACAAATAAGAAAAGTGGCCTTGCCCACAACTCCCACCAGACTTCAGCCAATGGGTGTAACCTAATTTGCAACCAGAAGACTAGGTGCAGTCAACCTGAGGCTGCATGTTTTTCTGTTTTCCATCATCTCTAATTAGAAGCAAGGCAGGATTCTGGATACACAGAATCTTTCAACTATATGTGTATGTATGTCTGTGTATGCATAAATATAAAATACATGTAGCCTGGCCGGCATGGCTCAGTGGTTGAGCATCAAAACTATGAACCAGGAAGTTACAGTTCAATTCCCTGTGAGGGCACATGCCCAGGTTGCAGGTTTGAACCCGTGTGGGGCATGCAGGAGGCAGCTGATCGGTGATTCTCATCATTGATGTTTCTCTCTTTCCCTTTTCCTTCCTCTCTGAAATAAAAAAAAAAAACATCTTTTAAAAAAAACATGTTACTACTGAATTTTTATGAAATGATTACTTGTGTCATAGTAGCAATTTCTTTTTGTCCCTTATTACAAAATTGTACTGTAATAAAATTCAGTCTGCAGTTGGTTTATGTAAACTAATATACTGATAGATATACTGATAGAAAATTTTGAGATATTAATAGTAGAATATTCCATCTTTAGATGTAGCCAGACTATCATATTCTAGTTCATTGTAAACAACTTCTTTGATGTAACACCCTAACAATGAAAAGAACTGGGAGGTGCATACTCCCAATATCTGAATATTTAAGTAGGGATACACCAAGGTTTAGCTTTAGTCTTGGTATTCAGCCAAATTCAGTTATTTGCCTTTGGGTAGCTGAATAATCAACTAGTTCAGGATCATTTGTGACATCACTGAAATTTTGTATGGAATTATGTGAATATGTAGGTTACCATTATATATAGTCAGTATTGATTCCAGTCATTAAAATAAGGCATTAATTCAGAGTTATTAGCATCTGGGTATTCGCTTTCAAATAGAGGTTCAACAGAATCTCATAAGCTTTCTCTAATAATTCCTTCAAAGTATAAATTTTAGTTATATTTCAAAGTAAAATGTTCATTAATCAATGATTATGAAAGCTATTTTATGTAGAAAACAATAGTAACTATTGAATAGGGAAAGAGGTTGACAGTTGATATCAATATTGAAAAAAGAGCCCTAGCCAGTTTTGCTCAGTGGATAGAGCATTGGCCTGTGGACCAAAGGATCCCAGGTTTGATTCTGGTCAAGGGCACACACTTTGGTTACAGGCTCTTCCCCAGCCCAGGCCCTGGTCGGGGCACATGCAGGAGGCAATCAGTCAATGTGTTTCACATATATGTTTCTGTCTTTTGCTCTCTCTTCCTCTCTCTAAAAATCAATGGGAAAATATCCTCGGGTGAGGATTAAATAAATATACATATATGTGAATATACACTGAGTGGCCAGATTATTATGACCGGCCAGATTATTATGACCACCCCATCAGTACTACTGAATATTGAAAACTTCCTAAGCAAATACTCTCAAGTTTTTTTTATTATTATTATTATTTGCATAACTAATTCACTTCATTGTACTGATGGGGTGGTCATAATCTGGCCACTTAGTGTATATATAAAGGATAAATGCTTGATAACTTTATGATGACAATATATTCTTTTTGAGTCAAGAAAAAAAAAGTGTGGTTATTTTGTGGCATTATTAAGAAGCTGTTTTGTGGAACATTTGCTATAACAGCTGCCTGTGTACCTTGGAAAACAAAATAAGCCTAATGAACTTTGACTTTGGGCAAGGATATCTCCAGGTAGAATGTAGAAAGCGCCACCTGCTGGGTTTTTGCTGTACAGGCTGAAGTACTAAAGAAATAGTTGAGCTTTAGGGAGTGGAAATACCTACTTAGGTTGCAAGCAGAAGTTAAAGGTGATATAGAGAGCCAGAGCTACTAAATTAGAAAACAAAACTGTTATCTCTAGCCACACAGGTAGCAAAGTCTCAAAGTAAGATGTGAACACAAGTCCAACTTCAAGATTGTGACCATCAGACATTTTGATAAGACTTCTGAGAGTTAAGTAAATTTTTCTGTTGAGTAGATTTTTCAAGTGGACAAAAGCCCAAGGGTTTGGTCCCACAGAAGCCTGATCCAAAAGTGGCAGTAAGAACATCTAGAAAAGCATATGTTGATACCACTTCTAGGTGTGGCTTTAGGGTATATAATAGACCATAACCAGATATAGAAAACTCAAAGTTTGAAAGAGCGGGGTACTGGCAAAAACACCAACTTGCCTAAAAGATGGATGAAGCTATAAAAATGCCTCTTGGCCCTTTACTGTTTTTGTATAGGAAGCAGCCTAAGAAAGTTAATCAGCTACAAACAAGGATTATTTCTTCAGAAAGAATAGAGGAAGAGGATGGAAAAGGAGGACATCTCAGACAGCGACACCTCAGGCAGTGTCACGAAAACCATTGTTCTCAGTGGAGAACAGTGAGTCAGGGAGCAAGTCCCAGCGAGCAGGATCAGGGTCTAGTCTGGGAACACTTCCCCATTGCCAGAATGAGGCCCAGTGGGATATCAGAATTGTTATGAACCAGTGACTATATCCTTCCCCCTTTCCTATGGGTATGTTTATTGTGGTTTCCTGTTCCTTTTTTATAATTGTATAGTGTGTGTGTGTGTGTGTGTGTGTGTGTGTGTGTGTGTGTGTAGGCAGAAGGGCAGGTAACTTGTCTTTTTATTTCATAGGTCTCTGGATCAAGAGGAGCTGCATTTGCACCTGACATATATCACAGAATCCTAGGTTGAAGTGACACCTGGGTGGTGGAGGTAGGAGGGAGGTGTGCTGACTATCCCATCTCCCACTACCTTGTTTTAACTTGTTGATGCCAGGTGGGGCTGGAGGCCCAGATGCCCACTGAGCCCTGCTCAGACACCAGAGGGGGTGTCTTCGTTTCCTGTAACTACTATAACTACCACACTAGGTAACTAGGTGTTCCTTGGTTTGTGGCTTGTCTTCACATGGCCTTCCCTTCTTCGCCCGTCTCTCCACTGTGCATCTCTTGTAAGGACATGTGTGATTAGATTTAAGGCCCACCCAGGTAACCAAGAATTATTTTACTGAGATCCTTAACTTACATCTGCAAAGACCCTTTTTCCAATAAGGTCACAATCAGGGTTCCAGGGATTTGACAAAGACATGGCTTTTGGGGGGCCACCATTCAACATACTACAGAGGAGAAAACGTGCTGGTGGGGATGGTGGCTCAGCATCTTGGCGGGCCTGGGTGACACGGGATTGAGGGAGGGCAGTGAAGCCGGATGTGATGAGCCCTTTGCACTAGCTGGCTGTCTGCTGCTGCGAGGTGAGGTGGAGGCTCACTTTGCCACGGGACTCCACTGACACTACCCAGCAGGGATACAAGGCCCTGCTACCTGCTGCTGCGGTGGGAGGTGGGAAATCAGCTCCCTGCTGGGCCAGCCTGCACCACCTGGAAGGGGCTCAGAGTGCTGCCTGCTTCTGGCAGGGCACAGGGAAGACTGGCTCCTTGCTCAGCCTTGCCAACACCACCTGCTTCGGTGGGACATGAGCAAGGTGGGGTGGAAGATCGCTCTGCTTGGCCCTGCTCAAACTGTAGGGTGAGGCGGGTGCAATTCTTAGATTTCTGTTTGACTGGTGATGGGTAGGTATTGTCAAAGAGATTTTGTTCTGGTAGGCCACCCTCTCATTTATAGCCAGTCCTATGACTAGGAGGAATAGGCTTTTTCTAGAAACTTTTGTTGTTCCTGCCTATGGGTGGTTCTGTAGCTAGTGCCTTGTCCTGAATATATGGGAGGCAACAAGGAAACCGAGAACTCACTGCTGTGTCACTTCTCAAGTCCCAAAGTCCCTAGGAAGTTTGCCCCCTTCCACCTCTACTCATCTTCCTATGCCTGTTTGTTGTTATGTGCAGAGTCTCTGACTTGTAAGAGAAAAAGGACTTGGGAGGATGGGCTACTACATCTTGGCTAGAACCAGAACTTGATTCATGACTCATTCAATTTTAAATGCTAGATATCATTGGTCATAATTCCAGTGTAATTCCTTTCAATTTTATGTTCATGTTTCTTACAATTATCAATTTTAAGCAGTAAGTGAAGGAAAACCAATTTAAAATATATTCTAATCTTTAATTAGTGATGATCTCTTACTATTTATGCTTTCTTATTGACTTTTTTGCAGAACATTTTCCAGGGGGGGAAAGCAAAAGATAAAAGGGCATTAAGAACAATTGTTGCCCTGGTCGGTTTGGCTCAGTAGATAGAGCGTTGGCCTGGGGACCGAAGGGTCCCGGGTTTGATTCAGGTCAGGGGTGCATGCCTGGGTTGCAGGCTCGATCCCCAGTAGGGGGTATGCAGGAGGCAGCTGATCGATGATTCTCATCATTGATGTTTCTATCTCTCCCTCTCCCTTCCTCTCTAAAATCCATAAAAATATATTTAAAAAAGAAAAAGAACACTTGTTATTGGCCGAGCCGGTGTGGCTCAGTGGTTGAGCATCAACCTATGAAACAGGAGGCCATGGTTTGATTCCCTGTCAAGGCACATGCCCGAGTTGTGGCCTCAGTCCCCAGTAGGGGGCGTGCAGGAGGCAGCCAATCCATGTTTCTCTCATCATTGATGTTTCTATCTCTCCCTCTCCCCTTCCTCTCTGAAATCAATAAAAATATAATTTAAAAAAATAAAACAAAAAACACTTGTTATTGAACATCAGTCTTATATGCGATTCAAAACTATATTTAAGACTGTTCTCTTGTATAACTATGAGTTCTCATTTCCACAATGTACCTTCAGTAATTTGTACAAGAATACTGTCTAGAATAGTTTAACAGTAATTATGCATATCGACTTAGAAATAAACTGCAGTAACTGCTACAAATGATTTTATATGGCCTCATTATAAACAGCCTCATTTCTTCTTAGGGAGCGATTGGGAACTATGATGACGTCCACGTTCTGATGGAGCTTTGTGTGTCTTTATTCCATCTCTTACACTGAGGATGAGGTTCACTAAGTTGGAAGGCATAGTTGCTTCAATTATTGATGGGGACAATTTCCCCCTCATTTCTGTCTGGACAAACATCACTACTTTGGAATGCGCTGGATTACTGTAAACAAAGGAAGAATTAAAAACATAAATAATCTTTAGATTTATCTATTGAATTTACAGGCTTGTCTTATTCTCAGTGGAGTCCTCCATAGTGATTATGATAGGACACATACGTATGGAAGGAAGGAGAGAAAAAAGGAAAGGTACAGTGATTCTCACACTCATACACATTTTACATGAAAACAGTAACTAGTCCGACTTACAGTCTTCCCATCTTCAGTTTTAGTCAGCTTTCCTTTTTGTCACATTGACTTTTAAATTACAAAAGTAATGTGTGCTTTTGAAAATTTAAATACAGAACTGTCATAATTGTTCCCTTCATCCTGTTCCTCAGAGAAAATCACTATTTATAGTTTTGACTGTATCTTTTTGGATGGTTGTCTAAATGTATACAAAGACAGCACACATATGTACACAGATGTACCCTACATATACACACATATACATTTTTGTTTATATAAAAATGAGATATGTTTATTTTTCTGCAACTGATTTTATTTTCCTCATAGCAGGATATCATGCACATTTTTCTGTATCAATACATATGGATCATCTTGATTGTTTTTCATGACTGCATACAGTGTTTCATACTCTACTTAACCAGTTCTTTATTGACTACCTTTTGGGTTATCTCACTTTTTGCGGCGATAAAGCTGCAATAAACATCTTTGTAATATATCTGTTTGCACTTCTATAAATACTTACACTGAATTTCTAAGTCAAAGGTTTTGTACATTTAACATTTTAGTGTTATTTCCAAATTGCCCTCCAAGAGACTAGTTTTTTTAATATTCTGACCCAGTGATCTTTAAACTGGGCTATGTGAAGCCTCATTCCCTGTCAAGGCACTTCCAAGGAGTACAAGAAGATGAATAATATTTAAGGGAATACATTTTTTTAAAAAAATTTTATTATATTTTTAAATCCTTACCCGAGGATATTTTTCCATTGACTTTTAGAGAGCGTGGAAGAGAGAGGGAAAGACAGAGAGAGACATCAGTGTGAGAGAAGCACATTGATTGGTTGCCTCCTGCATGAGCCAGGGCCCGGGCCAGGGAAGGAGCCTGCAACCAAGGTAAGTGCCGTTGACCAGAATCGAACCTGGGACCCTTTGGTCTGCAGGCTGACGCTCTATCCACTGAGCCAAACTAGCTAGAGCTAAGGGACTACCTTTTCAAAACTCTAACTACCACATGTATCTTTTCCTTAAACTGATCTGAGAATATGTCTCTGATGGAGATGTGGGCTTTTCCTTTCCCACCAGCCTCTTCACATCACACTTCTCTTGCTTTTCAAAATGAAGGTATACCTGTCACCCCCAACCCCTAATAGGAATGACTTATCTATTGAATTTATAGGCTTGTCTTATTCACAATGAAGTCTCTCCATAGTTATTATGATAGGATACATAGCTATGGAAGGAAGGAAAGAAAACAGAAAAGAAGGTACAGTGATGCTTTACCCTGGCACGCAAACACCTTTGAGATGACAAAGGGAAACTTTCATCTATTGGAAGTGAGTTAAGAAAGGGAATGGCTGCCGAAACCGGTTTGGCTCAGTGGATAGAGCGTCGGCCTGCGGACTGAAAGGTCCCGGGTTCGATTCCGGTCAAGGGCATGTACCTGGGTTGCGGGCACATCCCCAGTGGGACATGTGCAGGAGGCAGCTGGTCGATGTTTCTCTCTCATCGATGTTTCTAACTTTCTATCTCTCTCCCTTCCTCTCTGTAAAAAATCAATAAAATATATTTAAAAAAAAAAAAAAAGAAAAAAGAAAGGGAATGGCTAATGACTGGGTGAAAATCCTTACCCAGTCATGTTGTCAATTCTTTGCTTAAATAAAACTTAAGGATCTAATTTAGTTGTCTGTTGATAGGTCATGAAGAAGTTTTTGATTATAGGTTACTATAATTTATGGTACATAGCTCAGATGAAGTTCAAGGGATTGAAGGGCAGTGTTAGACTTATACTCTTTCCATTTTAACCCACATATTTATGTGAACAAAATTTCTCAGTGCTTATATTTATAAAACGCAAAGTAGAAGTGGACTTGATAATAAGCGTTGCCTCATTTTATTAGGACCAGTAATACTGATCCACAGGGAAACGAGTGTGGTTGGTAGAAGCACAGACTCTGGAACAGTCTTCGTTGGTTAAAGCTGAGCTTTGCTATTACCCATGTGGAACCTTGAAAAGTTACCTAATCTCTCCGAGCTTCCATTTTATCTTCTGTAAAATGGAGACAGCGCCGAAACCAGTTTCGCTCAGTGGATAGAGCGTCGGCCTGCGGACTGAGGGGTCCCGGGTTCGATTTCGGTCAAGGGCATGTACCTGGGTTGCGGGCACATCCCCAGTGGGAGATGTGCAGGAGGCGGCTGATTGATGTTTCTCTCTCATCGATGTTTCTAACTCTCTATCTCTCTCCCTTCCTCTCTGTAAAAAATCAATAAAATATATTTTTTTAAAAATGGAGACAGTAACACTACCTACTTCGTGAAGTTAATGTGAGGGCCAAATCAATCAATATATGTAAATTGTTTATAATAGTTCCCAGCACATAGTAAGTGCTATCTAAGTTTGGCTAGTAATAAAAAAATGTGTTTCCAATAACAGTTTTAATAATTATATACCAGGTAACATATTTGGTAATATGTTATCTGCTTTGATAAATATGTAATAATAATTTAATCCCACACACACTTATATTTTTATTTTTTCAATTTTTAAATTTCTTTATTAAGGTATTACATATGTGTCCTTATTCCCCCACACTTATATTTTTAATATTTAGATACTTATAGTCACAGAAAATAAAATTAATTTTGAAAATTAAATACTCATTTTTGCAGAGAACTATGATAGAATGATTAATAAAAGAATTCAAAGCACAAAGTATATTTTACTAGGATAAAGTTATGTGAGAGAAAAAGAGTAAAAATATGGGTTCAAGGAGAAAAGGAATGATGTAAAAATCTGATTTAAAGGTTGTATATGTTTTTAAATTGATAATGTAATGTTATGGAATTTGTATTCTATAAAATACATTTATAAGGGCATTATAACAAATTTTTATGTAGTCAATATTTACTAGTATAATATTCATAAGGAATACAGGTCTAAAATGTAATTTTATTTTTACTTCATTTCACATAAATATTTTTCTCATATTGAAGTTTATATTGGACCAATATAAAGTTTTTACATTTATCTTTATGTACCAATATTTTTTACTTAATATAAAATCATTTAGCAAAAATTAAAACTTAAGGATTTTGTGAAATGATATACACTAAGTTAATGTACATGAACTTACAGAATGGTATTTTATGTTACCATTTTTATTATCGCTAGGCTGGCCATCTGTAGGCAATGACTCATTTCTGATTTCCAACTCTTATCTGAATTTACCTACCAGAGTCTCATTTTGAAGGAATCTGTTCTTAGTAGGCAGTCTATTAGAAAGAATGTGTTCAAGATAAAGCATTCATTGCTGATAAATGTAACTGCATTATAATTCTAGGGAATTTATTTTCAATTCACAAATATCCCTTAGTAATTCACAGAACTGACTCTATGAAGAAATATAAAACATCAGGTTAATGTTAACCCCGGAGGGGAAAAACTTTGTGTATGTGTGACTTGTCTCAGAAACCTCAAATCATACTTTATAGTGAATTATCTTTTCTGATTATACTTCATGTGAAAATACTTATAACAATTATTTTAAAGATCACATTCTATTAGGGGCCATTTTTCCCCAACAGAATGTGCTGGTACATATTCTACTAATGAGTTAGGGATCCTTTAACTAAATCACAAATTGAACTTAAAAACTGTTACAATAAAGAAATGCAAATGATACTTACTCTTTCAGAGGTGAACAGACAAAGCCACAAGCATGGTTATAACCACGGATGTAATGTGAAGATGGAGGATATCCTGGAAAATCCACACTTTTAGCTAAGTGATTTAAAAAGAAATAAAATGAAACCTCTTCCACAAAGGTAAAAAATTCTATTTCAAGTAGCGTGTTTTAAAATATATACATATAACACAGCTTTTAATTTATCTTAGGTATTATCAGCACTGACATTGGTTTTATACATGGGTTGTATGTTTGTACGTATGAATGTGTGCATAGGCCAAAACTGAGAAAATACCAGTTTGAGCACGATTGTCCTCTCAAACATTTTCATGCTAGTATTTCTAAAGATGCTATTGTTACCTTTTACATTCAGGAAGAACTGTTCAAAGTATCATTTTATTACTTTCTGAGATTTGAAGCAAAAGAAGTCACAAAGAAAAAGGCTATTAGGAGAATGGATTTATAGATTTTTTGTTAAATCATTTTTAAATAAAATATTGGATGTATTTATTTGGCATGTCAAAGAAGATAGTTTAAATGTCCTTTTCTGCAAAATCTCTAAATTCAAATTATAATTAAAAATCACAAGTTTGCCCGACTGGTGTGGCTCAGTGGTTGAGCATCAACCTATGAACCAGAAGGTCACAGTTCGATTCCCAATCAGGGCACATGCCCAGGTGGCAGGCTTGATTCCCCAGTTAGGGTGCGTGCAGGAGACAGCCAATCAATGATTCTCTCTCATAAATGATTCTCTTTCTCTTCCTTCCTCTCTGAAATCAATAAAAATATATGTTTTAAAAAATCAGTAGAGTTGTTTTAGGAATTATGCAGTATAATTATATTGAATATGAATACAGAAGGGTGGTAATTTGATAATGATTGTTTATGATAATTATATGTACTCTTTCAAAAAATATTTTTTAAACATATGTATTCTGTGCAACTGAATCCTGCTCTTGTCAGAGAAGATGGATTTTCCCATATGATTTTAACATAAGCTATCAATTCTGTGGGAAGTACAATGTTAAGCATTAGCTTTGGTCTAGCTTAGGAAACAAGTGTGGTTGAATGAATTTTCCATTTTTATTACTTGTTTCATCACCTTAACAGAGCCTATTCTGTTGGCATGATGATACTTCCAGAAGTGATATTAACATATTTTCCCTGTTTAAAATATGGAGATTATGCTTGTTCGTAAAAGAAAATTTGTTTTATTCCACGAACAGATATGGGTCTTTTGTGAGGGATATTGGGTTGGTAGTTAGTACTGATTTTGGAAAATTAGAAAGACTTGTGTTTTAATTCTGGCTCAGCAGCTTATTGCTATCTAACTTGTTTCCTCTGAACTTCAGTTTCCGTACTGGTTCGATAAAGCATGCAAAATATTTAACTCAAAGCATAGTAAAGTGAACAACAGCAAAAGAAAGGTGAAGAAGGAAACTACTCGTATTCATTGATAATTAATTCAAAGAAATTGCTTAAAGCAAATTCAGTACTGATCACTGAATGACTCGTTACAACCATTTGTTGATCTTGATTTCAGACCTTTTTTATACCCTTAAAAATGAGATAGAAATGGTCTGCTTTCAAAACACAGAAAATAGCAGATCTATGACTCAGACACCATTTTGCATTGTAGACAGTGAATAGATTTTCATCTGCCCTCGTTTTAACAATGAGGTAACTAAATGACAGCTATCTGAAAGGGTGAACATCAGTCCTTAGCGGCATGTTGCACCTGAGCTAAGTGTGTGTGAGTGCTATTAGCACAGCTCTGGACTCTGAAACTTACTACCACGGACGTATCAGAAACCTTGTTGGGAAGTAGTTATTAACATTTAACTGTCCCTATCTCCAGGTAGCTTACAGTACAGAAAGCTATTCAGATAGTAGTGGTCAGATTAAATTGAGTTGTGGAGAGAAACAGGGCTCTAGACCGCTGTCCTGCCCAAGATCCTTCATCATGACTTATCTGGAGTTGTCTGGCTCCAAAGATCTTCATGGTATGAACTGGTAATGTTTCAAGTGAATATACACATTAAGAAATGGTCACATGCTGGGGTTTTACTGGGTGACATATTTTGGGAGGCTAAGGATACATCAAAACCCCTACCTTCTAAAAGAAACATAAGCACATTGTGTAAAGACCCACCTAGTAAAAATAGGAGTTTTGTCAGTTATTGGATAAGCTCATTCTATGCAATCTACACTAATAAAAGACAAAGATGCTAATTGACCATATCTTCATGACGCCCACCAGCCAATCAGGAGTATGAAAATTAACCCAACAAAAATGGCGGGTTAATTCACATACACGGGTGCTGAGCGGCCGGGGGCGGGGCGGGATGCAGGCCTTCTGCACTACCCCAGTCGCTCCAGGCCTCTGGGCAGCATGGGAAGGCGGAAAGGCAGCTCCGGGCCAGATCGAAAGCAGAAAGGTGGCCCCTGCCAGAGCAAAGGCGGTGACAGCAGCCAGGGGAAGGCAGGCCCATTCTTACACAAATCTTCGTGCATCGGGCCTCTAGTTCAAATATAAAATGATATATCTAAAGATTACTTTTGTTTCTCAGTGGTTTTGAAATGTTTGCTGTGTAGTTTCAGCCTACAGGTATTTACCTGTACTCAGTGGTGTGGTTATATGCTGCAAAAAGGCCAGGAGATGCCACACCATTGACTATGATGTAAAAGGCACCTCCAGAGTAGGGTAAAAACAGCAGGCTGGTCTACATTATACATGTATGTATTAGTCTCACCACGTAAATAAAAAATAAATAAATGAAAATATATTTCTTCCAAAATGTGAGTTAAAGGGAAAAATTATTAATAACTCATAGTAATTCTAAAATGTGGGCAAAATGTTTCAACTTACAACTGATCACATACACATTCCCTTCATGCCACTTGCTGTGCACTACGTCGACAAAGTCTCGGGGGGAAATTGAGCCCATGGCAAAACTTTGTGTAATGGCATGACATATGAATGTGTCCTGAAACAAATCAAACCATAAAGATTGCAACAATTAGTTAATATCTATTCTTTGTACTGCTCCCCAAAGAATTTCACTGTAAAAGATTGGCCTCTACTTGGAAAAAGCAGGACTTTGCAATTTTAAGAACTTATCACCCTATCAGCCTGCATTTTCTGTGTTAAAGGAAATTAGGTATTATTATAAGTACAAGACAACGAAAGCAAAAACAAACAAGCGGGACTACATCAAACTAAAAAGCTTCTGCACAGCAAAGGAAACCATCAACAAAATGAAAAGGGGCCCTTGTCAGTGTGGCTCAGTGGTTGAGTGTCAACCAATGAACCAGGAGATCACAGTTTGATTCCTGTTCAGGACACATGCCCAGGTTGCAGGCTCAATCCCTAGTAAGGAGCATGCAGGAGGCAACTGACCAATGATTCTCTCTCGCCCTCTCCCTGCCTCTCTGAAATCAATAAAAACCTATTTTAAAAAATGAAAAGGGAACCTACAGAATTAGAGGAAATATTAAATCATATCTATTTATATAATTATTAATGCATAAAATTCAAAAGTAATCTTTATACAGAGGCAGAGCTGCCTCAAACAGATTGTCAAACTGCAGCGGGAAGGCCGGGGAGGGTTGGGGGGCAGGAGAGGGGGGGTAAGAGATCAAGCGAAGGACTTGTATGCATGCATATAAGCATAACCAATGGACATAAGACACTGGGGGGTAGGGGAGGCCAGGGGATTGTCAAGGGCGGGGAAAAAAAGGAGACATATGTAATACTCTTTGTAATACTTTAAGCAATAAAACAATAAAATAAAAAAATAAAAAAATTTAAAAAAGTAATCTTTATATCATCTACACTTTGACATTTTAAATGAAGAAATTAAAGCCTAACAGATAACTAGAGATAAGTACAGAACTAGAACCCAGATTCCCTGATTCCCAGTACAACCATTCCACATTGGCTAGCTAATGTATTATGAAAAGTATATTGATTTAGCACCTATGGTGTAAGGCCTAAAATTAAGTGACCAATGTTATGTGTTGACATCTGGTGAAAATAGGGTCTTAACTGGCCTAACTGCAAGTTTCTCTCCTGACTGTTCCCATAAATACGGACTTTAGCCAAACAACCCTCCTTATCGACTGGATCAGGCACAGTGTCTGCTAGCCTGGAGAATTATTCCAGCAGCCAAGTGCATCCTCCTGCAGGATTCGGGGTCATCTCAACCTTTTGGTACTATAAAGCCTGCCTCCCTGGTTATTCTCTGTCCCCCGGTACAGCTCCCATGACACATGGCCTGGCAGGATGGATCCTTGAGAGGTTAGCCAGGCTATTGCATGGTATTGCCTCAGCCTCCATTTTGTTTGGCCAAGCAGCCTGCAGGGGCCTTAAACTGACCCTAGCCCCCTCATACAAGTGCATGCCAAGGATACCAGCCCACACTCACAAGCAAATGCAAGTTCTGACATGACTGTCCCAATAGTCCTGGGTTCAAGAGTCTCCCCAGCCTCGCAGGGCCTCCGTCCTCCTGTGACCCCTTAGATAAAACACCCCAGGGAGCTTACCAAAACGCTGCTCTTTTTGGTTTGAGTTGACTGATCAGACCTTCGCCTGGGAATTCCCTCGCACACTCCACCCACAGACCCTAACAAAGACATGTGCCTCAGGCCCTGCCCGTCGCTGCCTGTACCTGCCTTGCCCTCCCTGCGTGGCCTCTTGAGGCTTCACTGGGTGCTTCCTCCAGGACCTGTGACTAATTTCAATTTCTCTCAGGAGCTGTTGTTGAAACACGGCTCACCATCCGGCACCCTATGCTCCACTTCACAAATGTTAACAAAATAACAGTCCTCCTCTGGGCTGTGATTAATTATTAATAAACTACTGCTGATCTCATTTGCCTAGTGGCAGGTATCATGTTTTACCACCCCTATAACCCTTGGCTAGGAATCCTGCGCTCACCAATGGGATGAATGAGTCAACTAAAACACACTCCTCAAGAGGAACACTATAAATATTCATGAGAAGGTAAAATAATTCTTTTATAGGGTAAAGCTATTCAGAGATATTGTGGTATACTGTAAAGGGCCAGGAATTTGGGATCAGATCAGGTATAAACCCTGGTTCTATCATGTACTGGCTGTGCTGACCTTGAGCAAGTCACATAATTTCTCTGACTCTATTTTCAAGTTTTTTGGTGCTAAGTCTTGTATTCTTTCCATTATTACAGCTGAGTTGCAGCAACAGCAGAAAGACCTGAAGTGCTAATGGAACTATGTAATTAGTCTAATACAATCATGAATGAAACATTCCAATGTTTGGATTTTCATTTGCAATGGACCACATTTTTCTTTTTTTTATTATTTACTTTTTTAAAAAATACATATATTTTTTTTTTCAGAGAGGAAGGAAGAGGGAGAGAGAGACAGAAACATCAATGATGAGAGAGAATCATTGATTGGCTGCCTCCTGCATGCCCCTTACTGGGATCAAACCTGCAACCCGGACACGTGCCCTTGACCAGAACCGAACCTGGGACCCTTCAGTCCGCAGGCCAACACTCTATCCACTGAGCCAAACCAGGGCTGGAACATATTTCTCAAACTAAAGGTACAGTTCCCAAGAGGTTCATGGACGTGTGTTGTTTGTTACCTGACTTACCTTTCTGGGCTTCTCCCCGCAACTCCCAGACTTTAAAATCAGCTTAATAAAAGCAGGCAAAGTTAACCTACAGAGTTGTAAATAAATGATAAAATGGTGACAGATTTATTTGTGGGACATTTGTTTCTTTTGATAAGTGGAATGTAGTTTGGAGACTCAAAGAGCCAAAGACCCAGTGATGTGGAGTTTTATAAATGCAATTGTTTGTGAAAATCATAAAAGTATGCTAACATTCACATTTGCCACCTCTTTCTAATAAAGTTTTTGTTAGCCAAAATTGTGCAACTCAATTTTTAAAAACATCTTACTGAGCTGTAATTTACATACCATAAAGTGTAGCAGTCTTAATAAGAGATCTAGTGAACTGCTCCCAAGTTCAGAATCCCTTACCCCACTTCTGTCTTCTTGTTTCTGCCTCTTTGTACATCTCATTATTACTTTCATTTATATCATATTTTTCTTCTCCTGAATTTTCTTTTTTTCTTTATTTTTATTATTGAGAATATTACAGATGTCCCCCATTTCTGCTCCCCCCAACTTTGATCACCTCTACTCAGCTCCCGTTCCACCCCAAGCCTTCACCACACTATTGTCTGTGTCCATAGACTAGACATATATGCATATATCTACCCTCAGCTCATACTGGTCTTTTCTCCTCCCCTCTTCTAAGCCCTACTTGCTTCTATGATCACTTTCTACACCAATTATTTATATTTTCTTTCCTCATTGTTTTTCCTCTCTCTTCATCTTCATTTAACTGAGATAATGTATTTAAACTGTTTCTAAAACCACAACCATGTATATGTTATTTCACACTTTATCCTTCTCTTTAATTACATGCTGTTCCTTCTTAAGTCCCTACTGTATGTGTCTGCATTGTTCCTGTTATCTAAGCTATTATCCTATCTAATAAAAGGGTAATATGCAAATTGACCCTAACAGCAGAACGACCAGTTGCTATGATGCGCATTGACCACCAGGGAGCAGATGCTCAACGCAGGAGCTTCCCCCTGGTGGTCAGTGCGCTCTCACAGGGGGAGCTCCGCTCAGCCACAAGCTGGGCTGATGGCTATGAGCACAGCAGGGTGGCGGGAGCCTCTCCTACCTCCTTGGCAACGCTAAGGATATCCGATGGATGGCTCCTGGGCTGCCAGAGGGATGTCTGACTGCCAGCTTAGGCCCGATCCCCCCGGGGAGCAGGCCTAAGCCAGCAGGTGGACATCCCCCGAGGGGTCCTGGACTGTGAGAGGGTGCAGGCTGGGCTGAGAGACCCCCCAGCCACCAAGTACACAGATTTTTGTGCACTGGGCCTCTAGTCCTATATAATAAAAGCCTAATATGCTGTGTCCGGTCGTCCATTCAACCAATCAAAGCATAATATGCTAAGGCTGCTCTACTGCTCACTATGACATGCACTGACCACCAGGGGGCAGACAGCTGACCAGTTGACCAGTTGCTATGACGTGCACTGACCACTAGTTAGCAGACGCTCCAACCAGTAGGTTAGCTTGCTGCTGGGGTCTGGCCCATCAGGACTGAGCAAGATGGACCAGACATGCCCTGGAGCCCTCCCACATCTCTCCCCAGCCCCGATTGCACACCGGTGGGGTCCCTTGGCCTGGCCTGTGCCCTCTCGCAATCCGGGACCCCTCGAGGGATGTCAGACAGCCAGTTTCAACCTGATCCCGCAGGCCAGGCTGAGGGACCCCCCACTGGTGCATGAATTTGTCCTTATCCCCACGAATTTGTGCACCAGGCCTCTAGTGACCAATGTAAATATACTGACTTCCCTTTACCAAGGCATGTTTAATCTTTTCTCCACCTAATGTTGGAGAATCCAGGAGTTTGTCCCTTCATAACCAAAGGCACACATCTACAAGAGAGCTAACCAGATTCAGAATGTGGTGTGCATTTAAAACAGAAAGAAGCTAACTGCAATTAAACTCTTGAGTGATAAAGAAGGAAGTTTTAAGGCTTTTATAAAGATTTCAACTCAATGTGAATCTATAAAATTGAAGTGTCTCCCTAACATAGGTTTAATAAACTTAAATTACTAAGATATAAAACTAAAAATATATGAATACAGGAAAAGTTTAATATTAAACAACAAATTACCGAATCAATCTTGTGTATCATACTGTACACTTTCAATGATTTGTCCCATTTAATTCTAATTTCAGGCTTGTAGAGGAAATCAGCTAGTTTAGATGTTGATTCTGAAATTATTCCTTCAGCACGATATCTATAGTTAACAAAAATAAAAGAAAATTCAAAATTTAATTCAGTCTAAGTTGAAAAATATAATGTTATCATAGGATAACACACACTAATTTAGCAATCAACAGAAAAGAAAATTTGAGGGTCATATCTGCATTTCAAACACTATATTCAATTAGAAGTAGCGGGGTTTATTTAAATATATATTATAATAATTAATATAAATTATTTCAGGGTCATTTTTCCAAAACTTTTGTTATATGTCTCTGTAGAATTGAAAATTTTTTTAATTAATTAAGTATTACATATGTGTCC